TGTGTGTGTGTGTGTGTGTGTGTGTGTGTGTGTGTGTGTGTGTGTGTTGGAGGGGTGGATCACACGAGCACAGGAGTTCAAGAACATCCTCAGCAACATAATGAGATTCAGTGTCAAAAAAAGGAAGAAAAGGGGAAGAGAAGAGGGAATGAGAATGAGACACAGAGAGAGAGACTAAGACTCTCTTGGTTCTCATTTAGGGAACTCAAGAGCATCTAAAAGAATACAAGGGCCAGTGTGAAGTGGGGTGCTCAGGGCAATGATGTAGAGAGACAGAATTAGAATGGGGGGTCCAGCATCCCCTCCACTTTTAGGGGCCTGAGAGAGTAAGGCCCCAGTAAGGCAAATGTTGACCCTCAGGACTCAGTCCTACAAATAGCCCACAGGAATTGGTTCAGCACCCATCCTTCCCTTCCCCAAAGCGCAGCCGGACCCAGAGTACTTGTGCATTCTGAAAGGGCTAAGCTTCTGTAGAGCACCGCAACACTACACTCAGAGGCCTGCTCAAAGAGTGCTGCAGAGTGAGCACAGGCCAACCTGGAGTTCACCTGCAGTGAAGTACCTCAGCTTCCTAGCATCTCTCTACTCAGATCCTCTCCGGGGCACACTGTCCAGGTTCCGTGCCTGGAAGGCTCTTTGGTGATAAGCCCACTCTCCCGGTCTCCCTAGAGGGAAGCCTGCAGAGCCCTCTGCCTGGTTCTAGAGTTCCTCTTTTCCCTCACTAGCTGAGGCTCCTGTTAGGATCCTAGTAAAGAAGAAATCACAAAAAAGTTTCAAGCTGGGCAGTAGAATGGGAAGCTGTAGGTCCACACAGAGATGGGTCCATACAGCGTCAGTCCGGTGGGTAAATGCCGTCTAACCCTTTCCATAGGACCAGGAGGAGGTCTCCTACCCAGGGGGAGAGAGGCCAGGCTTGTGCCACCGCAAAATTAACAGCTCCAAAAAAAGAGTAGAACGGACTCAGGAGCTCTCTCCACAGCGCCCAACACAAGGCCGACAGGTGAAGAGAGCGCAGACCTGACCCGCGGGCCGTAGGGAGAGGCAATAGTGGCGTGTCCCGTGAGCCTCGGGCCCAGGCCTCTGGGGTGTGACAGTACCGCTGCACGCGGGAGGACAGCTGTGGCACCAGCGGAGAGCTGGATCGCATGAGGTCCGCCGCGCAGCCCCGCCCGGGACGCAGGTGTCAAGGTGCGGGCAGAGCCCTGGCCCGGCCTGCCACAGGCCCGCTGCCCCGCCCCGGCCCTCGCCTTGCTCTCACCCGCGCGCGCTCGGGGGCGCGAGGTCCCGGGGTCCCGGCCCGCGGGCAGGTGCGCGCGGACAAAGCGCTGCGCGGGGGCGTACCTGGGCACGCAGCTGGGGCTGGAGCCGTCCACCTCCCAGGTGGCGAACAGGTTCATGGGCACCGGGGTGTTGAGCGCTCCGGGGGCGCCAGGCAGGCCGAGGCGGCCCCGCTCGGCCATGGCGCCGGCCCCGCCGTCCCTCGGCGGCCTGGGGCTGCGCCGGGCCGCGGGAGCGCGGCGGGCGT